TTAGTATGTTAAGATAAGCATCTTATTGCTTCTTATTTACAATTATTACTTAACCTATCAATGGTATAGGTTAAGTAATAATTGTAATTATCCCTCTGACTCTCTGACTCAATAATTCTCTGACTCACACGCTCGCACGCTTTCGAAAGGACTTTTTTCGTAAACAAACAAAAAACCGGTAAGAGTTTGATTTTCCCGCTAAAACAACGTTTCAATTAAGATTTTTCACTCCAGCGGCAAAATTGAATTTACAACTCGGGAGACGATTTCCCCGCTCAAGCAACACGCGAGGGGAAAATGAACCGATGTTTCCCCTCAAAACACCTTTTCCAACTAAGAACTTTCCCCGCCAAAACCTTCTTTCTTCCCCCGCCGCCAAAAATGACAAATTCAATCTGTCTGTCTTGGAACATTTCTCACAACAGGAAGGAAGAAGGCGAGTGAGAGGAGATTAATCAGTGGATGAGACAGTGCTGTTGCTCGTACCGGAGGAAGCCTCCACCACACACATGACTGTACCGGGAGAAAGCCTCCACCACACACATGACTGTACCGGGAGAAAGCCTCCACCACACACATGACTGTACCGGAGGAAGCCTCCACCACACACATGACTGTACCGGGAGGAAGCCTCCACCACACACATGACTGTACCGGGAGGAAGCCTCCACCACACACATGACTGTACCGGGAGGAAGCCTCCACCACACATGACTGTACCGGGAGGAAGCCTCCACCACACACATGACTGTACCGGGAGGAAGCCTCCACCACACACATGACTGTACCGGGAGGAAGCCTCCACCACACACATGACTGTACCGGGAGGAAGCCTCCACCACACACATGACTGTACCGGGAGGAAGTCTCCACCACACACATGACTGTACCGGGAGGAAGCCTCCACCACACACAGGACTGTACCGGGAGGAAACCTCCACCACACATGACTGTACCGGGAGGAAGTCTCCACCACACACATGACTGTACCGGGAGGAAACCTCCACCACACACATGACTGTACCGGGAGGAAGCCTCCACCACACACATGACTGTACCGGGAGGAAACCTCCAGCACACATGACTGTACCGGGAGGAAACCTCCACCACACACATGACTGTACCGGGAGGAACCCTCCACCACACACATGACTGTACCGGGAGGAAGTCTCCACCACACACATGACTGTACCGGGAGGAAGCCTCCAGCGAGACCCAAAGACCCAAAATAAAGACCTAGCCTCCCCCCCCCCACGCCATGCCAGCAGACTTGGGCAGCGTGTAACAGTCTGTTTGGTCAGATTATCCAGGATTATTTCACTTCAAACACACTGTAAATACACCATTAAACGCACGTTATAAAACGCCTCGCGCAGCTAACACTGAACGGACGGGGTTTTTGGCGCCAGATTCACGCCCCGACCTTGCTGCGTGTTCTATAGCAGCTGTGACAGGATGTTCTCTCTCCACCGCTCGTGTTCTACAGCAGCTGTGTCAGGATGTTCTCTCTCCACCGCTCGTGTTCTACAGCAGCTGTGTCAGGATGTTCTCTCTCCACCGCTCGTGTTCTACAGCAGCTGTGTCAGGATGTTCTCTCTCCACCGCTCGTGTTCTACAGCAGCTGTGTCAGGATGTTCTCTCTCCATCGCTCGTGTTCGCTGAACACGAGCGAGCGATAAAGTTAATAAAATATTTGCAGATTGCATAAATACTCCATTATTTAGCAGGTCAAGAGAGCCGGTCGGCCGAGCGGACAGCACACTGGACTTGTGATCCTGTGGTCCCGGGTTCGATCCCCGGCACCGGCGAGAAACAATGGGCAGAGTTTCATTCACCCTATGCCCCTGTTACCTAGCAGTAAAATAGGTACCTGGGTGTTAGTCAGCTGTCACGGGCCTGCTTCCTGGGGGTGGAGGCCTGGTCGAGGACCGGGCCGCGGGGACACTAAAGCCCCGAAATCATCTCAAGATAACCTCAAGATAACCTCGTTACAGCAGCAACCACTCGACACTCACCGCACAAAACTACCACAAACTGGTAATGTACACCAAATTGAATTTGAAATTGAAATAAGTTTATTGAGGTAAAATACACACAAAGGGATGAGGATGCTAACCTATAATAGGTATAGGTTAAGTAATAATTGTAATTACGAAGCAATAAGATGCTTATCTTAAGATACTAACAAGGTTAGGTAAGGTCGGTGTTTTCTATGAATCTTTTTAAGGGTATCTATTATGTTAAGTATGTCACCTATGCACATACTTAATAAGTCAATATTGACTTATTAAATTTGCGAGAACGGGTTGTAATACATACATAGACACACATCACAAACAATAAATATATTACCAAACATTCTGAGAGATAAACATATACATTTCCTCCTTCACAAGTAGTATGGTATCAGACGTACACAAATACTTTTATGATCTAGTTATACGGATAATTCAACAAAATATACACTAAATTAGAAGGCATAAATAGTGTTGCAAAATGTAAAATCCTTAAAACTCTTTCGCAATGGGAATGTCTATTATAAACCACCGAGGGGCCCTTCGCGCCCCTCTAACACAACAAAAGTTTGAGATAAAAACCATCAAAGGAGCAGTAAGTCTGACAAACCGAAGCCCTGAGGATGCCCGAAGCCTTATGGCGTGCCCAGCAACACAGCAGGGATGCCCAGAGCCTAGTGGCGTGCCCCACAACACAGCAGGGATGCCCAGAGCCTAGTAGCGTGCCCAGCAACACAGCAGGGATGCCCAGAGCCTCCTGGCGTGCCCCACAACACAGCAGGGATGCCCAGAGCCTAGTAGCGTGCCCCACAACACAGCAGGGATGCCCAGAGCCTAGTAGCGTGCCCCACAACACAGCAGGGATGCCCAGAGCCTAGTAGCGTGCCCCACAACACAGCAGGGATGCCCAGAGCCTAGTAGCGTGCCCCACAACACAGCAGGGATGCCCGGAGCCTAGTAGCGTGCCCCACAACACAAGAACAATACTACAATCCTAGAGGAAGCTCCGGAATAATCCTTAAGAACCTGCTAAGCTTGTACATGGAAGGTACCAAAGAAATACCACAAACAAGGCGCTTCAAAGTGAAGCTGAACGCCGGTTGAAGCTTTAAGCTTGACCCAAACGAGAGCCAGTGGAGGCTTAAAGCGTGCCCACACGAGCGCTGATGCTGCTGCTGCCACATTCAATACCCAGGATACAGCGTGCCCACACGAGCGCTGATGCTGCTGCTGCCACATTCAATACCCAGGATACAGCGTGCCCACACGAGCGCTGATGCTGCTGCTGCCACATTCAATACCCAGGATACAGCGTGCCCACACGAGCGCTGATGCTGCTGCTGCCACATTCAATACCCAGGATACAGCGTGCCCACACGAGCGCTGATGCTGCTGCTGCCACATTCAATACCCAGGATACAGCGTGCCCACACGAGCGCTGATGCTGCTGCTGCCACATTCAATACCCAGGATACAGCGTGCCCACACGAGCGCTGATGCTGCTGCTGCCACATTCAATACCCAGGATACAGCGTGCCCATACGGGCGCTGATGCTGCTGCTGCCACATTCAATACCCAGGATACAGCGTGCCCACACGGGCGCTGATGCTGCTGCCACATTCAATACCCAGGATACAGCGTGCCCACACGAGCGCTGATGCTGCTGCTGCCACATTCAATACCCAGGATACAGCGTGCCCACACGAACGCTGATGCTGCTGCTGCCACATTCAATACCCAGGATACAGCGTGCCCACACGAGCGCTGATGCTGCTGCTGCCACATTCAATACCCAGGATACAGCGTGCCCACACGAGCGCTGATGCTGCTGCTGCCACATTCAATACCCAGGATACAGCGTGCCCACACGGGCGCTGATGCTGCTGCTGCCACATTCAATACCCAGGATACAGCGTGCCCACACGAGCGCTGATGCTGCTGCTGCCACATTCAATACCCAGGATACAGCGTGCCCATAAACACATCCCGGGTGACAGTCTTCCAGTTATCCAATAGAGGTTGATTGTCCTTACAATCACTGCGACTCCCCCCGGGGCAGAACACACAATCACTGCCAATCAGGCTCCGGTCACGGCTGCTCACACTCACTCACCTGTCCCGAACTACTCACCATCCATCTCATAACCCACCCAATGAGACGAGACATGAGGCCTGTTGAGCATTTTATTTCCCCTACAACATGGAAACGCAATAATGACATTTGAGGTCAATTATCATATAGCACAATTATCATATTTACTTCCTATAGAACTAAATAATTTAGTGCCACGAATTAATAATATTGTACAGCCTTTTTTGTATTAATATATTGAGGTATATGAGGATTTGTGCAGCAAAGCTCGACTATATGAAAGGGGTTACGTTATTTTTTTCTTTGAAGAGCTGACAATATTGGCATTATTCACACAGTTCACGCTATTCCTTCACCTCGTGTGGTTGTAGTGCACTGGTAGCTAGATGCTGTGGCGCTAGTTGGTGTGGAGCTAGTTACTGTGGAGCCAGATGCTGTGGAGCCAGATGCTGTGGAGCCAGATGCTGTGGAGGTAGTTACTGTGGAGCCAGATGCTGTGGAGCCAGATGCTGTGGAGGTAGTTACTGTGGAGCCAGATGCTGTGGAGCCAGATGCTGTGGAGGTAGTTACTGTGGAGCCAGATGCTGTGGAGCCAGATGCTGTGGAGGTAGTTACTGTGGAGCCAGATGCTGTGGAGCCAGATGCTGTGGAGCCAGATGCTGTGGAGGTAGTTACTGTGGAGCCAGATGCTGTGGAGCCAGATGCTGTGGAGCCAGATGCTGTGGAGCCAGATGCTGTGGAGGTAGTTACTGTGGAGCCAGATGCTGTGGAGCCAGATGCTGTGGAGCCAGATGCTGTGGAGGTAGTTACTGTGGAGCCAGATGCTGTGGAGCCAGATGCTGTGGAGCCAGATGCTGTGGAGGTAGTTACTGTGGAGCCAGATGCTGTGGAGCCAGATGCTGTGGAGGTAGTTACTGTGGAGCCAGATGCTGTGGAGCCAGATGCTGTGGAGGTAGTTACTGTGGAGCCAGATGCTGTGGAGCCAGATGCTGTGGAGGTAGTTACTGTGGAGCCAGATGCTGTGGAGGTAGTTACTGTGGAGCCAGATGCTGTGGAGCCAGATGCTGTGGAGGTAGTTACTGTGGAGCTAGTTGTGACTGTGTAGAGTTGAGCCAGTTATATACCCTGTCATTGATAGTCTGAGGGCAGGTATTGTTTCCATAAAACCTACTAGCTGCTGCTGCTGCTGCTGCTGCTGCTGCCGCTGCTGCTGCTGCTGCTGCTGCTGCTGCTACAGCTACTGCTGCTGCTGCTGCTGCTGCACCTGCTGCTGCACCTGCTGCTGCTGCTGCTGCTGCAGCTGTTGTTGCTGCTGCTGCTGTTGCTGCTGCAGCTGTTGCTGCTGCTGCTGCAGCTGCTGTTGCTGCTGCTGCTGCAGCTGTTGTTGCTGCTGCTGCTGCTGCTGCTGTTGCTGCTGCTGCTGCAGCTGTTGCTGCTGCTGCTGCAGCTGCTGTTGCTGCTGCTGCTGCAGCTGTTGCTGCTGCTGCTGCTGCAGCTGCTGTGTACTGTAGACAATTGGAGGGAGTCACCAGTGTAAACACAGTCCTGGTAAGACCTTAATATATGTCGGCGAAGACAATGGTTGCAAGTGTGATTGCTTTTAGAAGAACTAAAATTCTCATTACTTTTGTTGGTGATGAGTGTGTATATACACTGGATAGTTGGGTAGAGATAAGTTGAGACATGAGGACTACATGATATTTAAAAGGTTTCATGAGGTTGTCTTCTTCTTGAGGTTATCTTGAGATGATTTCGGGGCTTTAGTGTCCCCGCGGTCCGGTCCTCGACCAGGCCTCCACCCCCAGGAAGCAGCCCGTGACAGCTGACTAACACCCAGGTACCTATTTTACTGCTAGGTAACAGGGGCATAGGGTGAAAGAAACTCTGCCCATTGTTTCTCGCCGGCGCCTGGGATCGAACCCAGGACCACAGGATCACAAGTCCAGTGTGCTGTCCGCTCGGCCGACCAGCTCCCTAACGAGGCAAGGAATTATTTTTTTATTGATATATTAGGTACATGTGCATTTGTGCAGCTTCCCTAGACTATATGAAAGGGAGTACAGCGTGTCAAAAAGCTAGCTATGTGATGCTAAAAAATCCCTATCAAACAGAATGATTAATCATACAGAGGCATGTGATCAGTAGCCTACACTGGCAGACTCTGGGAGCATTATGAGGATATCATCAACACAAGAGTGAATAAGGCAGCAGTGGTAATACAAGTCCCCATCTCGCAGGATGGTTAGTCATACAGGGCCATATGTTCAGTAGCCTGCACTGGCAAATTTTGGGTGTAATATGAGGATATCTTCAAGAACACGAGAGGTAATAAAGTAATTGCAAAGCTCCAGGTACCTCATGCCAACTGGTCTGAAAGGTCTAATAACTGGGCATTCAGTGATGTAGTGTGGGAGATCATGCCACAGTTCCTGCTCACAGAGTTTGCACCTGGAGTGCTCAGGATTGGGAGATCCGTCACCTGTAGCCACCTGCCACAGGTAACGGTAGCCACCTGCCACAGGTAACGGTAGCCACCTGCCACAGGTGGCCAGCGACAACCTCACAACTATACGGACGGCGCCCACTACAGTTGCCTACCTTTGTCGCCTACAGCTTGGGGGAGTGGGGGCACACCTGCAGCTTGGGGGAGTGGGGGCACACCTGCAGCTAGAACGGGTATAGCCTGAGGAAGGGCTGCGCTAACAGGTGGCGCGATGACTGGGATTAACGAGCAGATGGCCAGCGAACTACGCCACCATCATGAAGTTATCCCACTGTACAAATTACCCGCCCCAGGCCTAAATGATCGCTTAGTTTTCCTAGCTTCAATATTTTCCCATGAAAGACTCAATCGTAGAATCCATTAACCTGGTTGATACCTGGTTGATGGGGTTCTGGGAGTTCTTCTACTCCCCAAGCCTGGCCTCTGGTACCTGCTTGATACCTGGTTGATGGGGTTCTGGGAGTTCTTCTACTGCCCAAGTCGTCCCAAGTGCCACCCTTTCGAAAAGATTGTCATCTAAGCGATCCCTCTGGGATTTTCATGAAGTTAGAAATTAAATCGCGGATGTATTATCCCGTAGAGTTCTTATGTTTACTCCCGCCGGTTACCCGCGCATTGTAATGGCTTACTCGAACACTATGAACGTGAATTGAATAGGGTTACAGAATTACATTTTCTGAAACAGAGGGAGAGAGGGGGGTGGAGAGAGAAGGGGTAGAGGGGGAGGGGAAGGAGTTAACAGGGGAAAGCAGCAAGCCATTACGACTATATAGCACTTGAAGGGGGAAGAGAAGGAATGATAGAAAAAGGAGAGAAGAGGAGAAAAATAGAGATGGGAAAAGATGGATGATAAAACAGAGGATAGGAGAAGTGAAAGGCAGGGGAGAGGACATTGGGAGAGCGGAAAGGGGAGTAGAGAGGGAGTGGGGAGCAAGACCCGGGAACCGCAGGACACCCCCCAGTTGCCACAGGGAAAGAAAAACAGTGTTACCATAGAGACTAGGACGGTGGTGAAGGTGCACACAAGCATGCCAAACACACACACACACACACACACACACACACACACACACACACTGGGCTGAGATATTAGAAAGAACTTTTTTAGTGTCAGATTGGTGGACAAATGGAATGCATTAGGAAGTGATGTGATGGAGGCTGACTCCATACACAGTTTCAAGTGTAGATATGATAGAGCCCAGTAGGCTCAGGAACCTGTACACCTGTTGATTGACGGTTGAGAGGCGGGACCAAAGAGCCAGAGCTCAACCCCCGCAAGCACAACTAGGTGAATACAAAGACACAAGGGATAAAATAGCAAAATATTTATTGAAGAAATTGGATATTGATGAATGATACTTGGATATGATAGGAAGAAATATGGATAGAATAATTGGATATTTATTGAAGAATAAAACGGGTTAGAAGGTTGTAAAGTCGGGGCTTTAGAGCTAAGGCTCAACCATACAGCAGTCAGCAGCAGCCGGGGAAGGTTGGGGGGGGGGAGAGGGGGGGGGTAATGCACAATGAAACATATATATATATATATATATATATATATATATATATATATATATATATATATATATATATATATATATATATGTATATATATATATATATATATATATATATATATATATATATATATATATATATATATATATATATATATATATATATAAAGACAAGTGATGAAACAACAAGGAGAAGTAGTTACTCGGCCTGACCAACAACACCATACTCATCATCTTCCTGTTCTTCATCTTATTCATCATATTCATCATTTCTGTCTTCATCTTGTCTTCTACTTTTAACATTTTTCACTTTCATCACCTTAACTATTTCTTCATTTTCCTCCATACATCATCTTGGCCACCCCTTGGCCATATTATATATATATATATATATATATATATATATATATATATATATATATATATATATATATATATATATATATATATATATATATATATATATATATATATATATATATATATATACACACACGCCACATCTGGGTGGCTGGTGGCTGAGTGGACAGCGCTCTAGTCTCCTGCACCAAGGGACCGGGGTTCGATCCCCGGCACCAGCGAAAAACAAATGGCCAGATTTTCCTTCCTCTCTGATGTACCTGTTCACCTAGCAGTAAATAGGTACCAGGGAGTTAGACAGCTGCTACGGGCTGCTTCCTGTGTGTGTGTGTGTGTAGAAAAGATAAATCCAGAGAAAGAAATATATGTAGTAAATAAAGAAAAAATACAGTAACAGCAGTAAAATACAGCAGTAACAAATAGTAAATACACATCCTGGATTGGTTGATTGGGGGGGGGGGTGAGATTAATCTCAGGGGGGTACAAACAATCGATGACATTCCCAAACTTATACATTCCGAAGACATCTCGCTGGGCGCAAGTCAACAAGCACTGAATACCAGATGAATATACAAGATACAGTTGCATAATACAGCCTGTATAAACACGCGCGCATAAATACAACATGAATCGTCAACAGTGTGCAACTTGGGAGCTTTAAATCTTTACTATTTATTGACGAATACATTTACCAGCTGTCAAACCCGCCCAGCATAAACCCAGCAGCAACAGCAGCATAACCCAACAGCAACAGCAGCATAACCCAGCAGCAACAGCAGCATAACCCAGCAGCAACAGCAGCATAACCCAACAGCAACAGCAGCATAACCCAACAGCAACAGCAGCATAACCCAACAGCAGCATAACCCAACAGCAACAGCAGCATAACCCAACAGCAACAGCAGCAGCAACAGCAGCATAACCCAACAGCAGCATAACCCAACAGCAGCATAACCCAACAGCAGCAGCAACAGCAGCATAACCCAACAGCAACAGCAGCATAACCCAACAGCAACAGCAGCAGAAAGAGCAGCATAAAATCCGCAGCAATAGCAGCTTAAACTAGCAGCAATAATAAGAGCAGCATAAGCATCAGCAAGAGCAGCAGCAGCAGCAGCAAGAGCAGCATCAGCAGCAGCAGCAGCAGCAGCAGCAGCAAGAGCAGCATCAGCAAGAGCAGCAGCAGTAGTAGCAGCAGCAGCAGCAGCAGCAGCAGCAGCAAGAGCAGCAGCAGCAGCAGCAAGAGCAGCAGCAGCATCAGGACCAACAGCAGCAGCAGCAGCCCCCAGATGAGCATGAGAGCAGCAGCAGCAGCAGCAGCAGTAGCTGTAGCAGCAGCAGCAGCAGCCCCCAGATGAGCATGAGAGCAGCAGCAGCAGCAGTAGCTGTAGCAGCAGCAGCAGCAGCCCCCAGATGAGCATGAGAGCAGCAGCAGCAGCAGCAGCAGTAGCTGTAGCAGCAGCAGCAGCAGCCCCCAGATGAGCATGAGAGCAGCAGCAGCAGCAGCAGCAGTAGCTGTAGCAGCAGCAGCAGCAGCTGTAGCAGCAGCAGCCCCCAGATGAGCATGAGGGTAGCAGCAGCAGCAGCAGCAGCAGCAGTAGCTGTAGCAGTAGCAGCAGCAGCTGTAGCAGCAGCAGCAGCCCCAGATGAGCATGAGGGCAGCAGCAGTAGCTGTAGCAGCAGCTGTAGCAGCAGGAGCAGCAGCCCCAGATGAGCATGAGGGCA